GTTTACATCGGGCCGCAGGTTTCCTCTTCCCGCCCCTGGCCCTGCCACTTCAACCAGCCTGAAGTTCAGACTCRACCTGACAGTTTCCTTCAACAAGTTCACACCCTGCTTGTTAAAACCCTGGACTTCAGACAGCCCGGATGTATCMGGTTTGAGTTAAGATCAGGTTTAAAGTCTCAGCTGACATTTTGAAGAGTTTAAAAAACATAAAGAAGCGAACCGAGCACTTACTTTGTATTTCATTCTGCGGCTTCTTCTAGAAAATYCAGTAAAAAGAAACAAATATCCGCTTTATGGCGACAAAGAGTCACACATCTGAAGAAGAACAGAGCCGAGCTTCTCTTCTGGTCCGGTTAACGGTCCATTCGSAACCTCAGAACCGTGACAACGCGACAGGATCCGTCGAAAGGAAACCGCTATCTCCACCTTCCGCTCCGGTCCGAGCCGACTGCTGCTCGGCTCAGCTCCGCTGCCGAGCTCAGACACAGAGCCTGCCGCTGATTGGTCAGATCCAACATCATAATCCCGCCCACACCCGGCACAGCCCACCGCTGATTGGCCAGAGTCCAGCCCGTCCTCTGACTGCTGCCATACAAACTTTGCGTCAACTAATACAGTGTGAAGGTCCTTTTATTACACTTCCTATATCACTTTTACACAAAAATTATCTAAAACAAATTTAATTTTCTAATGAAATTTGTCATTTTTAATTGTTTTAATTTTATCAAAACGAAGGCTAAATAAAAGTTTTGTGTAAAAGAAATAAATGCATTTATACAATTTTTAAAATCAATGTTTAAGTGTTAATGTGTTTTACTACTTTTGGTTAGCTTATATAAGCTAAGTAATAAGCTTTTATCTTAGCTATGTTTTGCTATTTTAACAAGCTTTTTGATACTTCAGATTTTGGCTTTGATAGTTTTAGCTAGTTTTATTGATACTTTTAGATAGTTTTTTTTACTTTTAGCTTAGTAGTCAGTTTTTATACTTTTTGCTAACACTTTGTTGCTTTTAGCTTCTAGATAGCTTTTGATTTTCTTGGTTTTTGCCTGTGCTTTTGTTACTTTTAGCTTTTAATCAGACTTTTGATACTTTTAGCTAATAGCTAACTTTCTGCTTTCTGCTAGCCTCTTGAGGCTTTTAACTAAAAGTTAAATTCATGCTTACTTTCTACTAGCCTTTTGATACTTTTAGCTAAAAGCTAATTTATGCTAACTGTCTGCTAGCAGCTTCTGCAGCCGAGGATCAGACCGCCAGGGTCACCTCCCTCTGCCACCGCCCATTTCACACTGCACCCGACCCCTTTGGCCCCTCCTACAGG